GCCGACCTTAACTAGAACCTAGTAGCGAGTAAATAGGCGAAGACGAGGGAGAATCGGATAAGCTAGAAGCGTAAAGTAAGAATAGTTCGATACTACTCCTATAGCGTATAGATTAAGCATTAGATGCTAGATAAAGAAGAGCTAGGCAATACGGCTCTAAGATCCTTCAGTACGAAGGTTAATAAGATACGAGCAAAGAAGGCTATAGAGGAAGATTCTATTATACTCGACGATTCGGATAAGGGCGGTACGGGCTTCGTAGGAGAGGAGAATAACGAGGAGCTTTAGTAGGGAGTTAACGACGCAACAATCAAATAAGTCGTACTAGTTCTACTCTCGAGGATTGTATACTTTATTATATAACTCTAGGGAATTGTTAGTCGAGCTTAATATTAGTCTCTAGGATTTGCTATATAGGGCATCGCAAAGTAAGAACTCTGCCGAACAGATAAAGGCTCTTAGCGAGTAGATCGGAGAAGTTTATATCGACGAGAAGGACGAGGAGTCTTCGCTAAATTCGGCGGGTCCGAGCTCGAAAGCTAGCAAGCAGCCTTCGAGAACGCAACTACAGCTCGGTTAAGACACTTTGTAGCTAGTTTTAGTGCATATAGAGCGAATAAAAGGTATACACTAAGCTCCTAATACTTAGTGCGGAACTTAAGGCCTTATAAGCAGTATTATAAGACTAGGACCTACATTATAAAGGTCGCCTCTTATTAACGTAGTCTATTCGACTAGTTTACCGCATAGAAGAAGACAAGTGTATTAGAACGTCTTAGTAATTCCGATATAATAGCATTGTCGACGAGGACTTCGAGAAGCTCTACAAATCCTATTCGGAAAAGGTTACGACAGTCTTAGCAATTATTCTAACACTAAAAAACCCTAAGCTTTTAAGCCGCGGGGCTACCGATGCTTCCGCTATATAGTCTACTATACTAATTCTACTACATCTCCCTAAACATCGTATTAATACGTTCTATTGATTTCCTAATAAATACTATAGGCTCGTAGCTTTATTTTAACGTAGATATCGACCTAATTAGTAGTATTGTTATTGCGTAGGAATATAGCGCAGATAATAGGGCGTATAGCGAGTTACTAAGTCGACCCGCTAAATACCTGTTTTCTGCTTTCTTAGCATTCTACGGTCTGTATAATATACTAACACATACTATAATCGTACGGTACCGAGCTAATACCTAATATAAGAAGAATCCTTATCGCTATTGTCTCTACCCGAAGGTATAGCCGTATAGGACTAGACTAAACTACCTAGCTTGTCGCAAATCTAGAGTGTTCCTCTACCTTTAATTCTCGAAGAAACGCTACTACCTAGCGACGCGTTAATATACGACAATACTAGTAATATTATAGCGGCGGAAGAAGGCTTTAGATACGCGCAAAGAGATCCGGTAGATATAGCACTATTACAAGACGCGAAAAGGTAGACAGGACGGATACGGAGGTCTCGAAGCTAGCTTAAAGGAGAATACGAAGGACAACCTATTTAGCAAGCCCTAACTACACCTCCAATAAGCTATTAACGTAATACGCGGCAGAGCGCTAAGGCGGCTATTAACGCTGCAAAACAGCTAGAAGAAGAGCTAGCAGGTGCTCCTTAGAGTAACTAATCTGCGGCTAAAAAGAGGAGCTCTCGGGCAGGTTCAAATGCTAGTGTTTAAAGCACTTAAAGCACTAAGAAGACTAAGAAGACTGTCTAGTTTGAGGTTCAAGAGATATAGCAAAGTAAACTTGGCTTACTAATAAGTAACCTTATAGAAGCAGAAGAACGGCGGCAGGTTAAGAAGAAGGTTAGCTAAAGGGCTAGGAAGCCGACTAAGAAGAAGGCTTCTAAGCAGCTATCTGCTAAGACGCCTCCTTAGCAGCTATCTACTGCTACTGCTACAACGCTAGCACTAGTTATAGCATCTTCTACTATAGAAGAACTATAGATTGTTACCCTCGAGATAGAAGTATAGTTTAATCGCGAGAACCTAGGCCGTAACTTCGGCTTAATAAAGAACAGTGCAAAGAATATCCGCTATCTAATAGACTAGGCTCTTTTAACGGCTATAGAATACGCTAACTCGAGAGGTTTCTAGCACTTCCTTATACGCCGCACTTGTAAGATTTAATGCCTGCTTACGAAGAACGGTAGGCCGCAATCCAAGGCCTTCGAGATGTCTAAATAGGACGATTAGATAGGCCGTAGTAATGCTATTGTCTAGTTCTACCGTATAATAAAGCCTGTATCTATACAGGTCTTTATAACTAAGTACTAGTCTTATAGAGCGGATACTCTATTTAAGAAGATTAGACCGAAGGGCAATAGCAATAGCAATAGCAATAGCAATAGCAAGCTACTACTATCCGACCCTCCGTCTTCTAATATTAACCTTCCTTCTAGTCTACTACTAGCTCTACGGAAGGAAGAAGGCTCTAGCAAGAAGAGAGACACAAATAGGCTTACATTGCACGAGACTAATAGCCGGATTGCTTAATATAAAGCCGTCCGTAAGGCATACGCTTATACTAATCTATAGTGTAGTCTTAGAGCTTAGGTTAGCGTTCTAGGTTGCTATATTCTTATAGGTCGACACTATAAGCTAACCGCTTAAATTATAACCTTCTAGAGAGACCAAATAGCGCTAGATAGTAAGTGTTCAATCGAGGCACTAAACAAGTAGGTTATCGAAGAGATAATAAGGTGCTATAAGATTAAGCATCCTTATAAGAACGAGCAAGGTAAGGGCAGCGGTAGAGGTAAGAGACAGCAAGAATAGGAGCCCTCGGTTTAGCAATAATATTACTATTATAGTACGCCTCAACCGGCTCTATAGATATATCTATAACCTCCGCCGCCTTATAGCTATTATAGCGCTCCGGTCGCTCTATAGTAACAGTAGTATTAGCAAAGCGCTCTACGCTCGAGTCCGCCTATTGCTAACGATAAGACTAAGACAGCTGTTCTTATTATCTATTGCCGCTAGCTTCGTACGCGCTTTCTAGCAATAGCTATATCTATTCGAGACGTACAAACCTAGATAGTAAAGGAAGATTGGTGTCTATAGATTATTAAAAACTCGACTAAGTTTAAAGAGCTAAAGGCAAATAATATATTAACCGATAGCGCTAGGTTTAGGATTGAGTCTAAGGTAAATAGGTTCTTAAAGGAATATAGAGCTAGTCGTATTCTAGCCAATATGTCTAGTCTACCGGAAGGCGCGCTAGTAGTAGAGGAGGCAGAGGGCTAAGCTATAGCAAGCTAAGGAGAATAGGTTTGTAATCGCAATATAGCACTACTACTACGCAATATATACTTACGAAAATTGCAGATAAGTTAGTCTATATGTTATACTCGGATTCTGTCTATTCAGTTTTTCTATATACTATCTGTATAGTACATACTATATACATTTCAAAAGGTTGCTTCTCTATGTGCTACCGCTAAGCCCCCGCCCCTAGACCCTAGACCCTTTCGGCTTTCTAGCGCTTTTTCGCATTTATCTTAATACTATATGCTACAATTATATCGGATATATAATATACATTTCCTAATACATTCTAAATGCCTTTATAGATTTTACAAAAAAATTGCATGTCGATACGTGCTCTATACGCTATATTCTATATACTCGAAGTTAATAGACTCGGCTTTCTAGGTAGACAAGCTAAAAGCGGAGTCTTAGCATCTGTTATAGTATGCAACCTACTACCTTTGAAGCGACACTACTTAGCGACGCCTTATCGGATAGATAGGATTTTTATATACTGTTATAGCGCCGATAAAGCGCTTTTATTTGCGTGTCTAAGAGCTAGAATCGGACTATTGAATTGCAGTATACTAAGCTAAATTGCTATACTGTTACACTAGCGTGCTTGAATAACTTCTTATAGTCTATACCTTTACCCTAACTATCTACTACTAGCCTTATATAACGCTTAAAATTAGCTCGCTAGTTATCCGTGCTATACTTAGGTATAGCACTCTAGTGCCTCTTAATCTAGTGCTTAAATAACCTAAAGGATAGCTCGATTGGATTTAAATGTAGTAAGTATAGTAGAAGGAAGTCCGCAATAATACTATACTAGCGATAGACATTGCGTACGAGTCGTCGGCTATACGTCGAGCAATTGTCTATTATAATAATAGACCTTAGACCTAGATATAGATTATAAAGGGGTAAGAGCTTCTCCTACATCTATGCGATAAATGTCTAGCTATTAATACTGCCTTCCTTAATAAGTGTTGCTCTAGGTATCTAACTATCGACTAAGTATACCGAAAGCACGCTATATCGTTGTAGTCGGTATAGATAGTTCTTAGTTATATAAGGAAAGCCTTTAGGTGCCTACCTACGCCTTCGAATAGCAGACCTCTCGCTATAATAGGTCTTATCTATAAAGACAATCTAATCCGCGCGCTAACTAGCTATATTTATAAGGTATGCTAGCTCTGCTTAAGAGTCTCGTTAAGACGCCTAGCGCTAAGCAATCTTGTTAGTTATCTGCTATGTCTTTAGGCAATTTCTTATTATTTATAGATATACGTATATACTAAACTCCGCTACTATCTAGTCTTGTAACTCGTCGGACTAGGTAGTGCCCTTCGCTGCTAGGACGTCTATAATGAAGTCTCTTATATACGGCAGTATCTTCTTTAGGCGGCTAGGTTTGCCTTTAGGTCTAAAAACCGTACTATATCGCTTTAAACTCGTACTATACCTCTTAACCGCGGCAAACGACCCGTTTCTATACTGCTTACGCTACGACAACTATATATCCTTCGCTATTGCACTATCCTTTAATAGCTGCTCGATAACCGCCTTGTCTTAGTTAGTAAAAGGAGCTATAGGTAGAAAGCGGCGGCGGCGACGGCGAGGTACGAGGCGGGCGACAATACGGACTCGGTAGAAGGCAGCGGCAATAGCAATAATATAGACAGACGATATAGTGGAACGACTAACTGACTATAGCGAACAAGAATGCTTCATTTACTAACTAATTAGTATGGAAAGTGAAGCTGAGGGGTTGCGGCTCAAAAGCTCAGGGTTTTTTGGTGTCAGAATATCCCAAACAGGGACATGTTCACTCGTTCACTGGAGGCCCTCCGCCACGCTATCATACAGCAGAGAAATCCCCTGCTTGCTCTCTGCCTGCGTGCCTTCTCTGACATAGAGCTGGCAGCGGATCTTGCGAAGCTACACTATCGATTGCTTTACTGCAACGTGGATTTCGGTTCGAAGTCGACGCTCTCCATCATCTCTGACTCATTTCACCGAAACTTCTGAGATAGCATCGGTTCACTGAGCATGTACATATCCCATTGTACGTTTTCCCGGCTCCTCGAAGCCTTCCTGACAATGCTCTTGTTGCGGAATTCACAATGTGGAGAATCGTATTGTGCTCTTTGTTCGCAGCTCTACATGAAGCATGATCAAGTCTTTGTCTGTCTTCACAACATTATATATCAGTTCTCACTATCTTGCCTTCGAGCCCACTTTGGAACACCTTTCTGACATCCGCGCGAGAGCCCTACCATCTACGAAGATAGTGCCGGCACTATCGATCTTCGCAGCATCTTCCACCGAGAACTCCTACATCTCGCTCTCGCCGACACCATGCATCTACCTCAACAATCTCCAAAGCCGACCCGGCTCCAGAAGCTCAGCTCCGCAATTGCGATGACATCCAACTCCGCGGCTGCTCTTTGGACAGGACAGAAAGTCATAGGGACTACTACAGAAGCAACTCTCCTGAAAGCGGAAGCTCAAGTGGAGCAGACCTATTCTAGCGAAGAACATTACGACATCCGTCGGACACTAGCAGCCACCGGCGAGGGTCAAGTCTCCTTCTTGCAAAGTCAATCAACCGGAGTGATCGTCGTCCGCAAGGTCGTCAGACCAGTCGAGCTCCACGAACACAATCGTTGCCTATGGGATCGAGGCAGGTACAAATATCCGAATGATGCAGTGATTGCTAACCTGATGAAGCCGCATCCCAACATCGTCAGGTTGTTCTCTTGCAGCCGCGATGAAGACAGGTCTGCCGAGCCCGGACAATACGAAATATTCATGGAACATTGCAACGGCGGCGATTTGTACGTCCAGGCGCATCACTTCATCCAGAAAAACAAAGAAATTCCAGACAGCTTCGTCTTGCATGCCACGATTCAGCTTCTGGAAGCTATGGCGTTCATTCATCATGGTCTGCGATATTGCGGTCATGGGAAGTACACCGTTGACCCCGGCTTCAAGTCCATCGTACACGGCGATCTCAAACCAGAGAATGTGTTCTTAAAATGGAGCAAACCACGGAAAGTCGACGACCTCCCGACTCTCGTGATCGGAGATTTCGGCGGTGCCAAGCCAGCTGGAAAATATTATCATTGTGTCAGCGCCGGCACAGAAATGTTCCACGCTCCCGAAGACGTGGCCATTGTCGGATCCCCTATGGTCGAGTGTACGGAGGAGACCTTTCCGCTGTATCTCAAACTCGCCGAAGAACGGGCCACGCCTTCCGACATGTATGCCATTGGCCTGATACTGGAATGTCTCGTCCTCGGCCAGGACGATCCTCCGCCGCCAGGTCATGACTTCACAAAGATCTTGTTACCAGAAGGCTATCGGCGTGACACGTACAAGACTGACTATGAGCACAAGCAGATGATACCACTCATTCTGCAGACTTTGCTAATGACAGATACGGAAGCTCGTGGCTCTGCCAACTTCGACCCCAAGACTGGTCTGCTTGAAGATGTCCACTATCTTCGTCTAATCAGGCAGGACATGATTGCTGCCGGTGACTACCATGTGGATGAGCACCTCTGGGCTCTTACACCGCCTCCTGCCGTTGATGCTGAGTAAGTCTTGCGCTTTACGCATCGATGATAGTGATTTGGGCTAATTTTGCTCTCTAACATATGTGACATTAGGAAGGTACTATCAAACCGGCACCATTTTGCGAACCTCATTTTCCGAAGCTTGAATCTCTCGATACATTTCCTATTCGTGCGTCTCCACACTTCACGTTCTCCAGACTCGGCGCTGTCAGCAGACCGCTGCAATTTTTCCTCTTGGACATATGCTGGCTTTACTATGCATGCACGCATCCGTTCCGAGACATACATCCGACCCTACATGATCCACCTGGGTCATATCGTTGTCAGACACGCCTTATGCAGACGGGAAGGAACGACAAAGCAATTCGTCCCAAAAATCTGAACCATCGTTTGCTACATCGCTTTTCTGGCTCGCTATTTGCTCGAACAAATTTCTGCAGGTATGTCGCATGTCTCACAATCTAATCATGGCCAGCAAGCAGTCATCGTAATTTATTTGCCAGATCGATCTCCCGCAATGCTGTTTTCTTCTTCCTTTATCGAGATCGTTTTCTCAATTCCCATCGTACAGCACTACTCGTTTCTGCACCCATCATGAACTCAAACAACTCTGGCTTCAATACTTCTCGTGGTGGTGGTCGTGGTGGCTTTCGCGGTGGTTATGGAGGTCGTGGAGGAGGTGGAGGAGGTGGAGGAGGTGGAATTGGCGGAAGAGGAGGAATGGGTGGAATGGGTGGAAGAGGAGGAATGGGCGGAATGGGTGGAAGAGGAGGAATGGGCGGAATGGGTGGAAGAGGAGGAATGGGCGGAATGGGTGGAAGAGGAGGAATGGGCGGAATGGGTGGAAGAGGAGGAATGGGCGGAAGAGGTGGAATGGGTGGAATAGGTGGTATGGGTGGAAGAGTTTCTACCGATGCCAACTCTGCCCTCAAAACCATAGAGACGTATGCCCAAGCTATTGCCCGCAATGAAGGAACAGATCCGAACGACAACACCAACTTGCAGGCCATCAAGTACAATCACGGGCTTCGTGATGCATTTCAAGCCAGCGAACCTGGCTCCACGATTGCAACGAACTATTTCAACCTGACAACACCAAAGGAGGTCTATGTCTACAGTCTTGAAATGGTCAGATCTGGAGGCCAACAAGTTCACAAGCGTGCTGACAGAAAGCTTATTTTGGATCATTTCCTGGGCCAGATTACTGAACTTCAAGTGTCCGATGGCCAGACCAAACACTGGGCTACCGACTATCAGCTTATTTGGAGCATCACGCCGCTGTTCAAGGTCGCATCTGGCAATCGGCAACTTGCGCTTCCCATTTCTCAACCTGGCCAATATCCCAATGAGTGCGGCGAGCTGTTGCAAGTCCACCAGCTGAACATCTACTATGAGTTCACGATACCATGCGACCTTCAGCAATTCAATGATCCTGCGGCAGGTAGCGACAGGAACAGCCGCCCTGGAGTTCTTCTTCGCGGATTCAATGCCTTCTTGAGCGATGCTGCTCGCTCTCCAGGACAAAGCGTTGAGTTCACCTCGGGCAATAAAGGTTTCAGCACTACGCAGGTTCCGAATCCACTGCAGACATATCCACCCAATAACCACAATGCCTTGATCGCTTTGAGCGGATTCTTTCTCTCTGTTCGACCAGGTGTCAGCAACTTCCTTGTCAACATGAATACCGCCACTTCAGCCTTCTTCGCTCGTTTGACTGTTCAAGATTTCTTGAACTCTGTTGGAGCTGGATCGACTACTAGACAGCGGCTTGGTCTCCTGAAAGGTGTGAAAGTCAGGATCACTTACAACGTTGGGCCTCCGAGCTGGGCAACGCGAGGGCAAAGAACTGAATATCGCTTCATTCGAGACATCAGCGGCGACAATGTCTCGCAGCAACGAACGATCGACAATCCAAATCAAACCATTTGGGAATGGTATCGAGATCCGGCGAACAATGGTCATCATTTCTATCCCAGCCAGCGCATCGATTTTGCCAAGAACATTGCCTCGATCAAGTTAGCAACAAGCAGTGGGGACACGATGGGCATTGAGGGATGGTATCCAGCGACAGCACTTGAGATTGTGGAATTCCAGCGTTTTGGCAGTCCTTTGGGCAGTCACGCTATCAGCAACATGATCAATGCTGCGCGTATGTTTCCCAGCCAATCTGTGCAACGCATCACGAGCGCAGGCCGCGCTATGTTCGAGCTCCAATCGCCAGCTCAAGCAGCCAATCTGAATGCTAAGTTCGGCATGACAGTCGGCAATGACATGCTTCGGATCCCTGGCCATTGGCTACAGATCCCTCAGATCCGCTACAGCGGCGGATACAAACAAGCCAACAATGCTTCTTGGGATCTCATCAAAGTGAGATTCAAGAACTGTCCGGGTATCACGAGGCCAGTGGCTCTCAACTTGACGAGCAGACACCACGAAGATAGGCAGATCCAGGACAATCTTGAGACGCTGCGGGTGGCACTGGCCGGCCACGGCATCGGCGGCACAACAGCTCGATTCCGTGTCAATACGCCACCACCCGATCATGCTATCCGCAGTCGACAGCCTACACCGCAATATGAGACTGTGATCCAACAGCTTTTGGCCGCGCAGCTTGGAGATGGGCTTCGTACTGTCTTGCTGGTGCTGATCAAAGAGAAGAATCAAGACCAGTATGCGTTCATCAAGCGTGTCGCCGAGCTGCAGCTAGGCATTCAGACTGTATTCTGTATACAGGATGAGAAGCGGCTGACAGCTTTCAACGCTCAGGCTGCATCGAACATCGCATTGAAGTTCAACATGCGCTCCGCAGGAGTCAATCACGATCTTGGCACCCAAGGTTTCGCGGCTTTGAAGACGCCAAATCGACTCAGCAACACGATCGTCCTTGGTGCTGATGTGACGCATCCGCCGACGTCTTCCAGCCCAGGTACGCCATCGATCGCGGCTGTTGTTGGCACGACTGAGGACGACTTCATGCACTTTCCTGGCTCAATGCGGCTGCAGCGCGGCAGACAAGAAGACATTGTTGAGCTGGGCGACATGGTCAAGGAGCGCTTGATCGATTGGGCAGAAAAGCATGAAAAGCGTCTGCCTGCAAACATGCTATTCTACCGAGATGGAGTCTCCGAGTCGCAGTACGAAAGAGTTCGGCTTTACGAGATTCCTCAGATCCAGCAGGCATACAATTGGGCACGCGAGTATCTCAATTGGCGATCCCAGAACGCGGATGAAAATGCAGTGCTGGATACCCGCCGTAACCCATGGCCACTTCCAGTCCCTCGACCCGGCGATAAGAAGAAGCACGATGAGGCACAGGCACCAGACTTCTTTGAAGACAAGACCGGCCTGGAAGAGCCCTTCAGCTTGACCTATGTTGTCGTCGGAAAGCGCCACAACACTCGCTTCTACGCCCTGCAAGCTGCCGACGCCGAAGTCAAGAAGCAGCCATTCAACACATGTGGAAACGTTCGTCCCGGTTTGGTCGTTGATCAAGTCATCACCCACCCCCATTCCCTCGATTTCTATCTCCAGTCTCACCAGCCTATCATCGGCACTGGAAGATCTGCTCACTACTTCACCCTGACCAACAACATGCAATTCACGGCAGACGAGCTTCAAAAAGTGGTAAGTCAAGTCCCTCCCCTGACCATCATTCAAACTCTACTCCTTTGTCAAATGCTAACCTCGTCCTCCTAGACTCACGATTTCTGCTACGCCTACGCTCGTGCCACCAAAGGCGTCTCGTACTGCGCTCCAGCATACTATGCAGATCGTCTCTGCGACAGAGGTCGTGCGTACCTTCGTCACTGGCTGACTCGCCAGAACGATCAAGCCTACCGTGCCTCACGAGACCGTCAACGCAACGAGACTTTCACGCATTACAACGACTTTGTCAAGAATGAGCTTCGCAATCGACCGTACTACCGCCCAAACCCTAATCAGCAGATGAAGTATGGGTTCACGAGACGCAACCCTTGGCACGAAAATATGGATGGAGTCATGTTCTACTTGTGAGTGAGAAGGAGACGGTTGTCCGGGTCGGAGCGATATTGGGGAGAGCGAGGTGATTGGAAAAGCGTAGGATGGTAGCTTGACAGATAGCCAACTTTAGACCACGGTCTTCGCACTCTTCCTCTCGGTAGCATTTCAACGGAAAGCCCACCACGCACTCAAGTCTCTTCACGGCATTCATGCTATTGAGCCACGAAGATATTCTTGATAGCCAACTTCAGACCAGTGTCTTCGCACTCTCCCTCTCAGCAGTGTTTCAACGGAATCCCACCACGCACTTGAGTCTATTCACGACATCCATGCTATTCAGCTACGAAGATATCCCTGATGGCTTTGGAATAATGATCTTTCGAGGCCTTCTTGACCGGTGCGTATGGTGGAAGCATTTCTTGCTCCTCCAAAGTCAATTTCTTCTCGGAATTTTTCAGAATAGGCATGGGACAGCCTTTATCTTCCCACTCTGAGATCCAACGCTTCATCTCGCTCTCAATTCTTGACAGTAGGCTTTGCTGATATCTCGCAAAGGACTCTCCTTCGCAGCGCAAGATATCAGCGACTGGGATCTCATGCTCTCCTTCCCAGCTGTCGACGGTTGAATTGAAGATCTTGTACAGCTCGCGATATGCCTTGTTGATGCGAAGATCTCCTCCAGTCCCAAAATGCTGCATGGCCAAAAGTCCTGCTCCAAAAGCTGCCTGCTTGTGTAGAACCATGATACAACCATGGGCATTGACATCTTTGATAATACCTGCTCTGCCGTGAAAGTATTGGTTGAATGGAGTGACCGGCTCGTAATACCCAAACTGAGCACAAGACAGATCGATGATGTATGATTCACCATTGCGATGTTCAACTGCGAGAACTGCATGACTGACATCGTTGGGAAAACAGCCTCCGGTTGTGTAGTATCGCTTGAGCTTGTTCTCGAGTCGCGGGTCTTCCAATCCAAGCTCTTCGACGACGAGAGCATAATCTATCAAGTTATCAGTAGTTCCCCCCGAAGATATGGTCTTGGTTATGCTGACCTGAAAGCAGTCTCCTGGCCAGCTCATACATGTACCCAATTCCATCCGTGCAGGCTAGAAAACTCAAGAGCTTCTTTTGATCAACTGCATCTGGCACCATTGAGGCAGGAAACTTGAAGAATATGGTCTGGCCGTCAGCAACTCTGGTGATGTCGTCGTGCAGGACAAGTATGTCGTTGACTTTCTCAATTGACTTCACATTCATGTCGAAAGCCACTCTGCGCCAAAGATAGAATGCGCTTTGCAAGAGATCGCCGGCCCGATACATGCCTCGGAGCACATCTTTCTGATTGCAGTGACGAAGATGAATGTCGCGGTGATCAGATCGGCATCTGGTGCTGCAGTAGGCTGGCGAAATTGCCTCAGCGTTCCTGGCGCTGCATTCGAAGCAAGTGAGGATAGGTCGCGGCACGACATCGGCGCATGAAGCGCAGGTCTCCATTGTCTGCATAGGTCGCGTCGAGGTTGTCGATCCTCTTTCCAGAGATTTGCAAAGTCAATAAATTGCTTGCCAGCTTGGACTTGACTTATAAATCTTCTCCTGCATGCAAACGCCGCGATGAAAAGTCTTGGCGGTTCGGGTGAGTTCTAACTCGAGCAAGATGCGGAATACCACAGTAACTCGCAGAAAGCACACGTTACGTCGGCCTGCGGAAAGAAGAGTTGTGATATCGAGTGGTCCTTGGTATTCTCAGAGCGAGTACCTAAACCCCTTGTTGTCAAGCTCAGTCATATCATGCATTCCTTGCTCAATCGCAGCCTTCTCTTCCTCATCGCTGGCTATGCCTCGAGTGGCAGCATCCCTGTCACGCTTCTTGTTGACGGACCACATGTAAAAGTAGAGGACGCAGACGGCGAGGAGCTTGATGGTGTAGCCGATAAGCATGCTGGAACACCTGTCAGTGACCAATCGCATATGGGGAGAAAAGCAATACTGACGCGACATATGCTGAATGGTAGCCAGGTGCTTCGCTGTCCTTGAATGTCTGCGGTCCAATGATGTTCCCTACGCAGTACCCTGTATAAAGGATGGCCGCTGTGAGCTGCTTCTTTGTGAAGCCACTGATGTTTGAGCTGACCATTGTTAAGGACATCGAGAACCCGAGACCTTGGAAGTAGCAGAGCCAGATGGCGACCAGTCTGCCCCATTTGTTGCTATCTGGAAGCCCCACCAGTAGCCCGGAGCCGACTATGCAGATCAGGTTGGCCACAATCATGGTCGCGCATCGTATGTTCGGGAACTTGGAGCAGATGATGCCACCTCCTAGTAAAGAGAGGAATTGTACTGCTCCGCCCGGGATTTGTAGATACTGAGTGCCCAAGGTCCCGAAGCCGAAGGACTTTAGAATGATCGAAGTGAAGCTGGTCAGTGCTGAGTTGGGTACTTGCGCACCGACAGCAAGAACGAATAGGAGCCACGTCTTTGGATCATAGATGGTCTGCCATGCCTGGTACTTTGAAAAGTTGCTGTTCTTGATGCCCTGTTTGTTTTTGGCAACTCGCTCGACGGCCACGTAGCGCTCCCTCTCAGTCAGGAACTTGGCCTTCGAAGGAAGATCCGGTAACGTAGTCAACGCATAGACACCAGCTGCGAAGCTGATAGAGCCGAAAATGATGAAGATGTACATCCATTTGGCGAGGCCGGAGCTGATATGTCCTACCGCGTAACCGATCAGGCCTCCGAACATGGTTGCAATTCCATTGGTACAGTAATACGATTCCAGACGTAGGGGCTGTTCAGAGGATGTGTACCACATGCCCATGATGAGCACAAAGCCGGGATTGACAGCTGCTTCTACGAAGCCCAGCAGGAATCTGTTCGCTGCAATGCCAGCGAAGTTGTGGCAAGCTGTGAATGCATCAGCCAGGTATCTTTGCTAAGAAACAAGGCAAATTCTTACCTGGTGTAGTGAGGAGGATCACACCCCAAAGCAAAGTCGTCACTGACAAGAACTTGCCGATGGGAAGCTTCTGCATGAGATATCCGCTAGGCCATTGCCCGAGAAGGTATCCGAAGTAGAAGATACTTGCCAGCCACGAGTACTGCTGACCATGAAGGTGAGTGCCCTTTTGCAGCCCGTATGCTGAAGCATAGTTGATGCCGTTCTTATCCAGTTGCTGTAGTAGGAACAGGAGCCATAATACCGGTATTATGCGCCGGTCGATCTTCCGTAAGACTTTCTTGAATTCGCTGGGCTTGATCGTCTCGCCGGCATGTTTTTTGTGAACGTCATATGTTTCGTCAAGCGCTGAGCTAGGTGCTGAGGTAGTAGGTGTAGACCGAACGAAGTCCATATCTTTCTCGTTGAAGTCTTCCCCGAAGGACGCAGAGCTCACAGTCATGGGGTAACGCGTAAGAATGATATCTGACAATGTTTCGATAGAGTAAGAGAGGATAGTGCAAAGGAAGAAAGAAGGTTAGCATTGTGAGCCGCGTAGTAGTCTCATGTCCACGTGTCTACCCATGCATTCTCATGCTGTAAGCCGCGAGAGAAGCACATCAGAGTCTTCCCTACCACGAGGCGATCCCCACCACGGCCGCCTCACTGACAAACACATTCATTCCCTTCGGACCATCGCTTCGACGTGGCGGTTGAGTGTGCTTGTGCAGGATAGGATAGGATGATGCAGAAAGGTGAAGTCGTCATTGGCTCTTGTACATCTACGACGATGTCCTCAACATCGTTCATAGCCTAGTGTTGATGTCGTGATCTCGCGTGCCAGCTTCACTGGGCTTTTTGCCGACACTCTTGATAGCATTCCCAGGATTGTCGTTTCTGACTCAGCCACAAGACTGCTTGGCTATGTCTTGATGAGCTTCGGCTGCGGCTTTGAGTTGGCGGAAGAGCTTCAATGTTGTTGAGCGAGGTTCTGTGTGAAGGCAAGGTCGGTCGTCGTCGTCGATACCATGCCTGTCGTGACCAGAAATGCATCACGCCAAGGCGTCTTTCTCACGTGACTCCTCGACGCGCATCGGAACTCCACTTCCTGCCGACCATCACACAATATGTTCGAAGCATGATTTGCTCACAATCTAGCAGGTAAAACATCTCAGCGTCGTTCTCTCGAGATCTGGCTGCATCAATGGACTGGGAGTTGTGAGCAGCCCGGGCCGGAACCTCTGTTCCCGATACCAGGGAGCCTCTACAACTTCACGAAAAGTCCGTACTATGGCACACGGATTCCACAAAAGGTCGTAAACAGAAGTCGACCATAGCAAGCAGGCAAATTGATGTCAATAGCTATCGGACGCTTGCCACGCGGCAGTGGTGAACAGGTAATGTTTACACATATAAAAGCACACTTTACTTGAGAAAGGACTTGCCCTTCTCTTCTCTCCTGAGAATCGACAAAAACCCACCAGGATGTCTCTCATGTCACTTCCAATCTTCTTTCCTCCACTGCTCTTGGCCAGGTCACACGATCCTGATCCAACAGCTCCAGAGCACCCACAACCGCCTTTGCCTCCAAAGCCGCTCATTGAACGTCTCGACTCGCAGCCTGACCCAAACTGGCCGCCGAAGCCTAAGCCTTCATTGAATCGGCAAGCCTCACAACCGAATCCTAATTGGCCACCAAAACCAAAGCTCTCATTGACTCCGCAAAGTCCAATTCTTCCAAGTCCAGATCCTGTTGGTCCACCACCAGACGGAGACTTCCCACAATGCTTGTCATGGCGTATGCTGAAGGATGATACTATGGCCATTTGTGAGGGTACATCCTACTTATTGCCAGAAGTTCGATAAGCTAGGCAATTGATCTGAGCAAACGATATAGCAGGCGTTAGCTCTAGGATAGCCAAAAAAAGGAAAGAAAAATTACCAACCGCCCATGCTACAACAGTTTTGCAGCACTACACCCTATTACAGAACCCCTTTTGGGGTCCGCAATCGGGTGTCGTGGGCACCTACTGCCATGCCGTAGGCGAATGCTGCGGCGCCGAGGACGTTGACTGGTGCAAGGATGTTGAGACCGTTGTAGTAGACCTGTGCGAAGACTTTGGTCGAGACGCTACTGGGTTGAAAGTAGAGGATTGGGACTGCGTTTTGACTGAAGGCGAAGTTGTAGGAGCCTGCGAAGAAGGCGGCTGGGAGGGCTATTAATTTTGCTGCGAGGCGCGTCGAGAAGGGAGAGTGGTGAACAGCAATGTCGTGAATGCCATCCTCCGTACATCTCCGAGAATAATGACAAATGTGCGAGACGGGATGGATGAATTGATTCTGCCACCTTGACCTTGCGGTCCTGCTCAGGAGTTGATAGGAGATGATCGCATTCCCGCCCGGAAGCAATGACGCGAGATCCGTGGCATTTTAAGGTGCTAGATTTGACGAGTCGCGCATCTGTCGAAGTTCAGAGATCATCTCATGTCGGATGACATCGCGAGTGTGTATGTTGAAAGAGCATGACCGGCTTGTGGTGACGGGTGACGGTGATGTCTCTGAGGCGAAGGGCGATTGATGGTGATATTTTTGGCTTTGTTGTTCCACTTCCTGGAGAGCCAGCGGCCCGCGATGATCAGCCGGGGTCCGCATGTGAACGTTGTCCCCAGAAATGACTCCCGAAGATTCGCTCACATGAGTGCTCCGTGGTGCAGCGTGTCCTCTCCTGCGTGTATTGCGTTGGCCACTCCCTGCACTCTGACTCCCTGAATGCTACAGTCACTTCGAACCATCCGATGTCTGAGCAAAGTGCAGCAGTCGCCATCCGCATTCGCCCTTTCCAGCGCCTTTCTCAAGCTCAGCCCAACTCCGCAGCGTCGCCCATTGTCAGTCGAAGTCGAATCCACAGCCACATCTCCAACACATCCTGCAAGACCAGCGATGGCTGCGGCACAGCCTGAATGGCGCGCTCCTCCAGCACCAAGCGCAGAAGTCCAGGCGCGATTGCCCAAGCTGAGCGTATACAACTCGTTGACCAGAACAAAGACTCCATTTATTCCGCTCGATAAAAGTGGGAAGAAGGTGGGCTGGTATGCCTGCGGTCCGACTGTATATGATGATTCGCATTTGGGACATGCGCGAAACTATGTCTCACAAGACATTATTCGTCGCATAATGTCAGACTACCTGGGGTTTCACATCAACTTTGTCATGAACATTACCGACGTGGATGACAAGATCATTCTGGCCGCTCGAGAACAGTATCTGTTGGCCGAGTTTCTCCAAGGGCGGAAAGAGGTCGACGATGAGCTTAGACAAACGACCAGCGAAGCACTGAAAGAGTATGCGAGCAAAAAGGTTCCAAAACTAGAATCATATTTGCCAGAGTCGAGCCACGCAGATGATGCTGCTGTCGCCAAATACACACAGGGCGAGCGCACGGCATACCAGAATGTGCTGGACGGCAAGAGCGAGGATGGCCAAGGCGCGCCTGGAGACAAAGAAGCCAAGATTAAGATGCACCTGAAGACAGTGAAGAATGCTGTCGATGCACTTCACTCCTCAGATGCAACCCTATCATTGTTCGTTGAAAAGGCGTCAGGCGTGTTAAGGCCGTACATCGACCGACTGAACTCATCGAAGGTCTCTGGCAAAGATCACCACATCTTCACGAAACTGACGAAGAAATACGAGCAACGATTTTTCGATGACATGAAGGCACTCAATGTGCGATATCCGGACAAGCTCACCAGGGTCACAGAATATGGACCTCAGATCGTGGACTTTGTGAAGCAGATCCAAGGCAACGGATATGCTTATGAAAACGAAGGCTCTGTCTACTACGACACAACCGCATGGGAGTCGTCGGGTGGTCACTATGCGCGACTGGAGCCTTGGAACCGTAATGACTCAGAGCTGCAAGCAGATGGCGAGGGTTCATTGGCGGCGAAGAAGACTTCTTTCAAGAAGTCCGGCGCAGACTTTGCATTGTGGAAGGCATCGAAAGCTGGTGAGCCGAGTTGGGACTCGCCTTGGGGTGAAGGTAGACCAGGCTGGCATATTGAGTGCTCGGCAATGGCATCGGACGTGCTCGGAAAACAATTCGACATCCACTCTGGCGGCATTGATCTTGCCTTCCCGCATCATGATAACGAGCTTGCACAATCAGAAGCATACTGGCACAAGTGCGGCGCAGAGAGCGAGCAGTGGGTCAACTACTTCCTTCATATGGGTCATCTCAGTATCTCCGGCAGCAAGATGAGCAAGAGCTTGAAGAATTTTACCACGATTAAGGAGGCGCTGTCGAAAGGAGACTTTACACCGAGATCGCTGCGAATCATCTATCTGCTCGGCAACTGGAGGGACGGACTGGAGATCACACCTGACCTGAGGAAAGCAAGTGTTGCGTGGGAGGAACGCGTGGACAATTTTTTCCTCAAAGTGCGAGATCTCAAAAAGAACCCATCGAGCGATTACAAAAATGGAACGAACGGAACACAGCCTGATATCGGCCAATTATTGGAGGGTTCCATGGAGAAGTTCCGAGAGGCAATACTCGACTCTTTCGACACCCCTGCAGCAATGAGAGTGTTGAGTGAGTTGATCACAGCATACAACTCTGCGCAACACGTGCCAGACGCTACATCAGAAGCCATTGGCGAATGGATCACACAAATGGTAGTCATGTTTGGTTTGGATGCGAGCTACCGCAAAGGTCAGATGGGCTGGTCCGGGATTGACATACCAGAAAAGGCCAAGCCATTCATCGAGCCTCTCTCTGAATTACGTGACAAGGTGCGAGAGCAGGCCATCAAAGGTCAAGTCGAGCTCGAATCTCTCGGCAGGTTGGAGGAGAAGGACAACTTCTACAGAGCACAAGAGCAACCTTACGCCAAGGCATATGCAGACTTCCAAAGAAAGGTCTTTGAGCTCCACAGCAAGAGCGCACCAGCCAAAGAGTACCTTGCTGCTTGTGACGATTTACGAGACAGCGTGCTCTGGAGCCTGGGCATATACCTTGAGGATCGAGAAAATCGCCCGGCTCTGGTGCGACCACTTTCTGAAAGCTTGAAGCAAGAGCGACAGGAGCGAGAAAGCAAGGCTGCTGAGAAGGCTGCTGCAAAGGAGAAGGCCAAAGCCGAGGCTGCTGCTAAGGAGAAGGAGCGGTTGGAGAAAGGAAAAATTCCACCGGCTGAGCTGTTCAAGACCGAGGAGTACAAGGCAATCTACAGCGAGTGGGATGACAAGGGAATGCCAACGAAAGATAAGGAGGGCAAAGAAGTGGCAAAGAGCCAGGTCAAGAAATTGGCTAAAGCTTACGAAAACCAGAAGAAGCTGCATGAGGCGTGGCTGGCGGCTCAGAAGTAAGAAAAGAGGAGAAGCGATGATGCACGCGCGACAGATACCCATGAAGTCAAACAACGATACTAGTCAAAAGCTCACGCTGGTGCTGGTGCTGCTATGCTTCCATGTTTACATGCATCTGCATTCATCACTGTCGTGCGACCAATCAGCTTGTTCAACTTATCCTCCATACTGAGCCAAATATTTTGCCTCCTTTGAAGGCCCAAGTCAAGTACTGGGTGAGTCGCCACGATATCCATGGCCTGCATGAGAAATCGCATGTCGTCAGGAAGCAGACCTTTGGAATCACTGTCACCGAGATGCTTCCTAATAGTCGATGCCAACAACTCAACACTTTCTAACCTCATCCCTCGAACGTCCTTGGAAACAGGGTAAGTACCTGTCGTCACAGTCCATAAACCTGACGTCTGAGCCAGTACAAATCTCGAAGACCATGCTTTCGGAGAGGACTCTGCCGTCGTATATGATTCTGACATTTTGCGACGTTCGAGCAAGAGGTAGAATCCAACATGCCCTTGCCATCGCATTGGTTGAGGGATCTGCCAATGTTGACTCAGATAGATTGAGCGGACTCGAGACAGACTATCGCGATGGAGTAACAGGTTTGCCCAGATTTGAGTGCCCCGAGACCAGAGTGCCGCTGCATCGTCGATGTTGAAGATGAACTGGCTGTTGCTGGCGTAGATTGGGATGGTCTCGTGGCGGAGGAGATGACATGTTCGAGAGATTGGTGGTGTGAGAGATGCATGTCCGGAGAAGTTCTTGAAGTTGTCGGTTTGGAGGTCGGGGAGGTATTCGTAGATTCTGTGACCATGGAATCAATCATCGATACAAACCAGCGCGGTCTACGTGAGATGGGGGAAAAGAGGTACCTCAGGCGTACTTCGGGTGGGATGGAGATTAATGACATTTCAAACACTGTAGACCTCGAGATGGAGTGTGATTCACCTAGACATGGATATAGCCCAGGGAAGGCAAGATCTGATCAATGTGAGTGCGATCGATGTCGCCATCCCGGTGAGTCTCTGGCACGACAGGCGCAGCTGCGATACTGAATGCCAAGAGTGGCGCCAAGAGAGGGCAGGATCACTCGGGAGAGTCGGTAAACCACGAGACATGGAGAGCGCGCGGACCCGGATCTCTGCCACTCTGCATGTCTGCCGCTGGAACACCCGACTGCGATGAATCTTTGCTGAAGGTCAATAACGTTGCATTGTCGTCTGCTCAGAATAGCATTTATGTGAAGTGCCTCCTCCGCCACGTGACCTGCCCTTGCCGAAGCCGAGCGCGCCGAGCAGTGTGTTCTGCGCTCACGTTCTGTCCTGCGCATCAACCCGACCTCACTACTTCACTGCCACAGAGCTGGCCCCGCACAACACACCCTCGACCAGTAGCCTTTACGGACGCGCCAGACGCGACGTAACCTTGATATCAATATCAATAATACCCAAACACGACTGCCCGTCTTTACTGCGATTTGCGCGCCATCGCCCACCACGCGCGCGAGCCTCCATCACACCAGCGACACCCCCAGCTCCTTTCCCATCCGGAAGCGCAAAGCAGCATCCCCGAATCGCCCAAATACCCTCCATACACCCATTGACCACCGCACCGACGCGCGATAGATGGTCGCCCCCCTCCCTCACCGGCAGTAGGGATTGCTTGGCGGCGGTGTCGAGCGCGACCTTGGTGGGTTGCGCTGCCGGGAGGCAATACACCTCGACATATTTCAGCCAAGACCACACAATATGGCTGCTGTTCAACCCTCGCAGGGCATGCCGCAAGGCCAGCAGGGCCAGAATGCGATCATGCAGCAGGTGTTGCCGCCTGGCGTCACCAAGGAGCAGGTGCAAGCCATGTTCAAGGTATGTCAAGGGCACATATTCAACTCAATATGCTCGAGTACTGACGTGATGCGCCACAGGAATATCAGACGAAGCGCTCGCAAGGCGTGCCGGACACTGACCCTTCCATGATCAAGCTCCGGCAGGTGCTGGCCACGGTACAAGCGCGAACGGAGCAGATTAAGAAAATGCAGAACATGAAGATGCAGCAAGCTGCAGCAATGCGGCAACAGCAGCAGGCTCAGATGCAGCAGAACGGCATGCCCGCTGCCTCTCAAATGAATGGTTCATCCGGCGCGATGCCTGGCCAGACCGACGGACACGCGCAGGCGGGACAGCAGTCTGCGTCAATGTCAAACGGCGCATCACAACCCACATCTCAACCCTTTCAGCAACCTTCTGCGCCGACAAATGTTCAACCTGGTCAAGGCGATGGCCCCACTGAGCAGGCATTGAGTCGCGACCACATGAACACGCTTCGGCTGCAAATGCAGGCTTTCAGTCACCTTCAGAAGAACCAGGCCATTCCTGCACAGATCGCAGACCGAATCTTTCAGTCGAGGCAGGAGCAGAAACCACCTACACCAGCTGAAATTGTATCAGCGGCTGGCAAAATGCTGGATGATGCGGCCAAGGGAGACTCGAAAGCTGGCGATGCAGGAGACGAGAAGCAGCGGCACAAATTCGAGACCTTTACTGATCCACATACCCTCATGCTGAAGCGCATCAGCTACAACGACCATGTACACCGCCCATTCCGAACCATGATTCCCAGCATCATGCCGCTGGGCGTAGATCCCGAACGTGTACGAGAGGAGCGCGAGAACATCGTCTTTAATCGAGTAATGACACGGAAAAACGAGCTCAAAAATCTGTCCGCCAATATTGGCGGCTGGGATACAAGCAAGTCTGATACGCCAGAGGACAATACCAATCTCAAGCTTCGGGCTATGATCGAGTTCAAGATGTTGAACCTGCTTCCCAAGCAACGCGAAATGCGGCAACGGGTTGGAAAGGAGATGATGCTTTCTGATAACCTCTCCATGACTGCTAACAGATCCATGTATCGTCGCGTCAAGAAGCAGTCCCTTCGCGAAGCTCGTGTCACCGAGAAGCTCGAAAAGCAACAGCGCGATGCGGCCGAGAATAAAGAGAAGAAGAAGCACATCGAGTACATCAGATCCATTGTGCAACATTCCGAGGATATTCGAAATGGGGCTGCTATGCACAAGAACCGCATTCAGAAGCTGGGTCGCATGATGATGGCAACGCATGTCAACATCGAAAAGGAAGAGCAGAAGCGTATTGAGAGAACAGCCAAACAGCGTCTCCAAGCTTTGAAGGCCAACGACGAAGAGACATATCTCAAGCTGCTTGGACAAGCGAAGGATTCTCGCATCTCTCACCTCCTCAAGCAGACCGACGGCTTCTTGAACCAGCTTGCAGCTTCCGTCAAAGAACAGCAACGAAAGGCTGTCACCCAACATGGCATGGAAATGCCCGAAGAAGAGTCAGAAGACGATGGCGAAGTCGACAGCGAGGATGAGACCAAGAAGAAGATTGACTACTACGAAGTCGCTCATCGTATCAAGGAGCCAGTTGTTGCACAGGCCTCCAATCTGGTCGGCGGAACGCTGAAGGAGTACCAAGTCAAGGGTCTGCAGTGGATGATCTCGCTGTACAACAACAACCTCAATGGTATCCTTGCCGATGAGATGGGTCTTGGAAAGACTATCCAGACCATCTCGCTCATCACATATCTTATCGAGAAGAAGCGACAACCTGGTCCGTACTTGGTTATAGTACCTCTCAGTACATTGACCAACTGGAATAGCGAATTCGAGAGATGGGCCCCAAGCGTGCAGCGCATCGTATACAAAGGTCCGCCTAACCAGCGAAAACAGCACCAGCAACAAATTCGCTACGGTCAATTCCAAGTCCTGCTTACCACGTACGAGTTCATCATCAAGGACAGACCCGTACTGAGCAAGATCAAGTGGCTTCACATGATTGTCGACGAAGGTCATCGTATGAAGAACGCACAGTCGAAGCTCAGCAGCACCATTACCCAGTACTACCACACACGATACCGCCTCATTCTTACTGGAACTCCGCTTCAGAACAACCTTACCGAACTCTGGGCCATGCTTAATTTCGTGCTACCGAACATCTTCAAATCCGCAAAGTCGTTCGACGAGTGGTTCAATACTCCCTTTGCAAACACAGGTGGCCAAGACAAGATGGAGCTCACGGAAGAAGAGCAGATTCTCGTCATTCGCCGTCTTCATAAGGTCTTGCGTCCCTTCCTCCTGCGCCGTCTCAAAAAGGATGTCGAGAAGGACCTTCCGGACAAGACAGAAAAGGTCATCAAGTGCAACTTGTCGGCACTCCAAGCCAAGCTTTACAAGCAACTCATGCTTCACAATCGCATCAATACCATTGGTGCCGATGGCAAGAAGACGGGCATGCGAGGTCTCAGCAACATGCTTATGCAGCTTCGTAAGCTTTGCAACCATCCATTTGTGTTCGAAGAAGTCGAGGAGCAGATGAACCCAAGCAAGTACACAAACGACTTGATCTGGCGTACTGCAGGCAAATTCGAACTGCTGGATCGTATCTTGCCCAAGTTCCAAGCGACTGGTCACAGATGTCTCATCTTCTTCCAGATGACTCAGATTATGAACATTATGGAAGACTTCCTGCGATTTAGAGGCATCAAGTACCTGCGACTGGATGGTTCAACAAAGGCTGATGATCGATCTGAGCTCTTGAAGCAATTCAACGCACCGGGTTCAGAGTACTTCTGCTTCTTGCTCTCTACTCGTGCAGGTGGTCTCGGGTTGAACCTGCAGACTGCTGACACCGTTATCATCTACGACTCCGACTGGAATCCTCACCAAGATTTGCAAGCACAAGATCGAGCACATCGTATCGGCCAGAAGAACGAGGTGCGCATTCTGAGACTCATCACCAGTAGTTCTGTTGAGGAGAAGATTTTGGAGCGTGCGCAATACAAGCTTGACATGGACGGCAAGGTCATTCAAGCTGGTAAGTTCGACAACAAATCCTCCGAGGGTGAGCGTGACGAGATGTTGCGTGTCATGTTGGAATCTGCAGAAGCCGTGGACAATCTTGAACAAGACGAGATGGAGGATGACGACCTCAACATGATCATGATGCGAAGCGACGAGGAGCTCTTGACCTTCCAGAAGATTGACCAAGACAGGATCAAGAACTCGAAGTATGGTCCTGACAAGAAGCTTCCTCGACTGCTGTGCGAGAAGGAGCTCCCAGAGATCTACTTGAATGAGGATAATCCTGTCGTCGAGGAGATTGAGGTCAATTACGGTCGTGGTACCAGAGAGCGAGCCAAAGTCAAGTATGACGATGGTCTGACAGAAGAGCAATGGCTGGAGGCCGTGGACGCCGATGACGACACCATCGAGGATGCCATTGCGCGCAAGCAAGCACGTATCGCCAAGCGCATGGCAAAGAAGGGCAGTGAAGACACACCACCTCCGGAACAAAGCGAGGAGGAGTCCCCAGCACCGAAGAAGCGAGGACGCAAGTCTGGTGGGAGACCAGATAAGCGGAAAGCCGAAGAGGCAGCGCTCGACAGTGCTGCTGAGCCTCCGAAGAAACGTGGACGAAATCCCAAGATCGTTGAGACCTTGTCAAAAGAAGACCGAGACTCACTTCAACAAGTTCTTGACAACGTGCACGACTCGTTGCAAGATCTTGAAGAAGGCTCCCCCGACCCGAATATCCCTCCACGTGGCATCATCGATCCGTTCTTGGAGCTGCCGCCCAAGCTTGACTATCCGGACTACTACCAGTTGATCAAGAATCCCATCTGTATGAAGCAGATCGAGAAGAAGATCAACAAGAAGGAATATCAGAGCATCAAGCAGTTCAGAGCCGACATTACGCTTCTTTGCAACAACTGCCGGCAATACAATGAGGATGGCAGCGTGCTCTACCAAGACGCCAACCTCATCGAAGTAAGTGTTGATGTTATACTGGAATTATGAGACAACGCTAATAGTTCTGCAGCGTGCTTGCGACAAGAAGATCGCCGAAGAAACTGCGGATCATCCTCGATGGCAGAATTGGGAAGACGACGATGGTTCCTCTACACGGCCTTCAGCCTCCGGCGTTTCGACACCTCAGCCTGTCAAATCCGGCATCAAGCTCAAACTTAACGGGTCGCGAGCCAACGGCAACTCCTCGAGGGGCGGAACCGAAAGCTTGGTGCAGAGCGATGATGAATAGGATCAAATGGTCAGCTCCAGCGAAAGTGAATTCTAATGAGAATGGGAATGTTGGTTCGAAAGGCGTATCGGGCGTTTAAGCATGGTTATCAACGACACTACAAGGCCTCGCTGCTATTAGAAAGCAGGAGCCCTCAAGCGGCATGAATCACGACGCGGTGCGCTCGGGTGATTGGGATACAATGGAGTGTGGCAAGGAGTCCAAATGGATCAACAAACGCAGTCATCTCTTGCGCATGCTGCAACGCCTAATTGGCACGATTGGTGTGCTGCCTTCTTCTTCTATACAATGTAGTGTACCACGACAACAAGACAATTCTTCACGAACATCTTTTCCATTTATCCTCTCATCCAGTCATCTCTTACTATCGTCGTAACATATCACCTCGGCCTCAAAACAACACACCCTTCGTACTGGGCACCTCCCCTTCCCTCCCCGCAACCAGACTCGTCGCCATCCTCAAAAGAAGTTCGTCATTTCTGCACGCTCTGTTCTTTTACGTGCGTCGGATCAACCCCCTCAAACAATCCACATGCATCGTGATGCCCGCATGCAAAGCAAAGCTCTCTAAACAATGCGGCAACATCTCACAACTCAAATCCCCAATCTTCTCCCTCTTCGTTCCCAGATCTATCACACTATAAGGCCTGTTAGACAAATCTACTACCGCTCGGGATAAGGCTATAAGGCCTGTTAGACAAATCTACTACCGCTCGGGATAAGGCTTCGTCTAATGGCGCGTAGGCGTAACCAAATCTTGCAAGCCCTGTTGTGGTTTTTAGGGCGGATTTGAAGGCTTGACCTAGCGCGATGCAGGTGTCTTCTGCGGTGTGGTGGTCGTCGATGTGGAGGTCGCCGATTGTGTGGATGTAGAGTGACCAGCCCGAGTGTTTCGCCAATGCGTGCAGCATGTGGTCCAGGAAGCCTATGCCTGTGTGCACGGATATTGATTGGGATTTTGAGGCTTGTGTTGCGTGGGAGGAGGGGTCTGAAGTGCCGTTTGGGCTATTGGTGATTTCTGGGAGGGCGCCGCCGTCGAGGTTTATGGCTAATTGGATTTTGGTTTCGTTTGTGTCGCGGGAGAGAGTTGCGGAGCGGATGCGGGTTTCGGTGGTGGACATTTTGAGGATCTCGTGTGGGTTTCGTGAGGTGGTGGTATGGCTCAATGTGAAGAGGATGGAGGCTGGAAAAGTGATGAGTGAAGTCATCAAAGTTCAAAGCATTGGCTAGAACCCTGCAAATTTAGCGCTAACCTTAACTCGTAGCCGAGTTGTTCTTGCTCTAAAATCTTTCGAAGGCGACGACATCGTTAATTGGTCACCAGTCACAACGACTTGACAGTCTGCGTCTACGTCAACATGTCCAACGATACTGAGATGCAAGATGCGACCGGCGGCGCTGAGGTGAACGGTGCCGGAGAGGACTTCGCTTTCGAGAAGCAACGACTGCGACTGGTGCGAAATACTTCTGTGCATGTGATGATGATTTCGAGCAAGCTAACATTTTCACAGTTGCCCGGTTCAACGACGACAGCCGCATCATTTGCGTTTGAGAAAGAAGACCATACACTTGGCAACGCGCTAAGATATATGATCATGAAGAAGTGGGCAGGCACAATCATCCATTCACAAATCCTTCTACTAACCTCTTCCGCAGCCCCGACGTCGAATTCTGCGGCTACTCCATCCCACACCCTTCAGAAGCCGTCATGAACCTGCGCATCCAGACATGGGACGGCGTCAGTGTTTTTGACGTGCTCCGCAAAGGTCTGGAAGATCTTGCGGATCTTTGCGATGCGGTCGAGGAGAAATTCACGGAGGCGAGGGATGAGTTTAACGCTGCGAATCCTGAGCGCAATGCTGCCACATGAGTTACCGGTACCAGCCACGCAAGCCATCCGAGAAGAAGAAGCGCATGACCAAGAACAAGCTGGCCAAGCTTGCTGCGAAAGTCCGAAGTCCAGCAGTACCGACACTACCACGGATGCGACCACTCTCCCAGCCCAATCCGATGCGAACAACCAAATCTCCGAGAGTGAGGCACAGTTTAGATTGCTATGAGATGCCTTGAAGGGCGGATGGTGCTTTGAGGATGTGCAGGCGAAGGCATTCTTGGTTCGCGATGAGGCAGTGGCCTGTTCTTCGCTTTTCTGCATTCATCCGCTTCCTGGCGATATTATGTGCTCGGACTCAAAGCGGAAGAGTGCGGATGTAGTCTCAAAATCTGAGGCAGGCAGCTTTCGAGCTTTCTCCTTGTCTGTTGGCTTAGATCAATTGCAGCGCGTGGCAGTGCAAGACTGCCTTCGAGTGGGCTCGTAAAACATACAGTACTGCTTGGCCAATTCCAAGGGTAGAGTTTTGAGAAAGCAGATTTCTAAGTTCTCGCTTATTACCAAGGCATACTGGACTCCCAATTGGAAGTTATCCAAGTTCACTGACAGGCTCCAAGGGCCTTGGATTCCCCGGAGCCAGGGAAGACTGCTGTAGCACGGAGTGTCTTGGCACAGACCAACCAGCAGGAATTCATTGCTCATCTTTTATTAGTGTCAGCCCAAACAGCGGGGACACACTGTGGAGGCTCAGAAGATCTCTGCTTCGCCTCCTTCGTGCGTAGAGAGGGATGTTGGTATTGCTTCGGCTTTATTGGTCCTATACGCATCGGAGTGAAAGTACACCCTAGCAGCCCGTATTGTTGAGATTTCTGATTCGTTACGAACTATGAAATCCAGGATTAGGGAATTTAATGCTTTCACTCCATATTCGCATCCAACATTCGCATCCAACATTCGCATCCAAAATTCGCATCCAACCCCAACTCCGATAAAAAACGAAGGTTATGCCGACCTCTGAGTTCTTCGCTCAAGAGGCCATTTTGAGAACAATGTTTGATTCGCCCCAGCCGAGAGCTTTTATATAGCCCGAATCCAGCGGGTTACCTTTACCCTGTATTGAATCTGCAGCGTCTCTACACCGGGGAGTGAAAGTGACTAGGCGAGGACCGCTGAGTACCAAGTTGCGATTCGCTGTAATCCTTGAGAAGCAAGGCTTTGGAGAATACCTACTTTCACTCCGACGTGCTTAGACGCTATAACTTAAAGACCCCTAGGAACAGTCTAGGCCGAAAGATAGATACTTATTGTAGGATATAAAGGAGCGTTTCTCTATCCTATTCCTATATCGAAACAACTTTATCCTACGATACTATCCGACCCTACCTCGATAGTTTATACTTAGCCTCTTCTTTCCTAACTAGTTATAAGCTACGATACGGACTTAGAGACTCTTCACGAATTCGACATAACTGGTTTTCAAAGATGCATTTCGCAGTTGTCTTTGCGGCGATTCTCTCGATAGCATATGCCAATTATGTTAAGATATACGCCAATCCGACCTGTCTAAATACTAGTAAATAGTGCCAAGTGGTAGTAATTAGCAAGTAGGCGTTAACCCCTTCGGGAGCGAGGATCCAAGTATATATGTCTACAACGACAACCAATGCAAAAGCCAACTCGCCGCATTCGACGGAAGGAGGTACTCTGTGAGCGAGCGGCTGCGCTGACGTTAGCCCCATTAATTCCTACATTGTCATCTGTTAGCGGTCACCAATTGGGCGAGACGAGCAAGGAATCACGTTTGCTTAACTGCAAATCAAGTCAGGGTAAATCTTCGTTATCAAGCCTGGGGCGACATACTCCATGCTCAAGAACTTCTACGCGCACGGCATCTGGAAAGAGGGATTGGACAAGACCCTTAAAAATTTTGGGTCGAGGACCGTTCGGACGCGGGCAAGATATTCGAGCTCCCTTTGTACGATATCGCTCTTTGCGAACGTCAGCTCTTGACCTCTTGTGCGCCATGTCTTTCATCACACGAGCTTGGCACAGGCAAAGATGGTACGCAAGGGCAACAATGGTCTAAAGGGCTTTTGCCATAGAGACCGCGAAGGTGCAGATGTGGAGTTTGAGATTGTAAAGGTAGTAGATATTGCGTTTCACGTTGCCGAAATAGAACTAGTACTAGTACCTTGCAGTTTTGCCAAGGCGTCTGTTTGTAAACAAGGCCGTAGCTACTACCACCACATGAACCAATGACCTACTGCGACCGCACCACAGATGGCAGCGATTCTCACTTGCACCGTACCTGAAGCTGTAGCACGTGCAGACATAGCGGTATTCTCATATCATCATCGCCATCGAGCATCTCCAGAATCATAGGGTGGAGTTTGGAGGCCCGAATCGCGCATAGCAACCGTCCACAACAGTCGACCAGCATCCCAGATTTCCCACAACGTCACCACGTTCGCTCCAACAGCCTCGATCTCGACATGCACCAATAGAGGAAAGTCTACCTGCCCTCCACGCTCGCTACGATGGGCGCACCGACCGAGCTTCCACGCTTCCCGTGCTGGTGCAAGGCCACGTACTCATGGGGCGGCGAGACGAAGAAAGACTTGGGCTTTATCGAAGGCGACTTGATTGAAGCGCTGAATGCTGGTGATGGCTCGTGGTGGATGGGCAGATTGCGACGAGACCCACGCGCGATTGGTCTCTTTCCATCGAATTTCGTGACTGTCCTGGCCGAGTCCTTCCAGCCAGCACCCAACAGCCGCAATGTCACTCCGCAGTCGAAGCCGGGCAAGACGGACTCGCAGAAGGGCAAGTCGGTCTTCAGGAAGCCCTATCAAGCATATGAAGTGTTGGGTAAACGCGGTAGCCTAGACAGGGAAGGCACGCCGGAGAGCGACATCGAGAAGAAGAAGGAAAAGAGCAAGTTCAAGCCGTATTCTAGTATGAAGACGGCCCAGGCGCCTACGGGAACGATCAAGAAGCATAATGGTGTACCTATTATACCGATCGATGATGCTCCGAGGATACCAGATCCCGTGCCCAGGCATGGCTCTTCGCGCCGGCCGCGAAGCCCTATGCCAGCTATGGAGAGGCCCGTTCAGAGACAGATCGAACCGCCTGCTCCTTCTGCCTCACCAACTCCTACACCCACTTATCCAGGCTATGTGCCATACCGTGCGTCATTACCACATTCAGCATACGTCGATCAAGCTCCGCCACGCTCTCATTCTCCCTTACCGACTACGTATCACGATGGATCTGCTTATCCGCAGATCCTCACTATTTCTCGTGGACCTTCACCTGCACCGTTCGATGAGCCGCAATATCTTTCAAGACCGCCTTTCAGATATGGGTACGAAGACGAGTTTGGACTAGAGTCTTCTTCGCCGCCTCCTCCGCCGCCAGCACATCGTGTCGCCTATCAGCCGAGCAGAGCACCGTCGCCGCAGCCGGAAGACTACATGCACCACGAGCAAGCTAGGAATGGTACTCAGACTCCGGTACCTCCATCACCTGCTGGCAGCCACATGACTCCTTCTCCATTGCGTGATGCCATAAATGGTGTCATGTCTTCGTTGCAGGATATGAGCTCTTTCTCACAATCTCCACCTGCAGAAAATAGACCATCAACATCATCAAATGTCTG